TCTCTCTCTCTCTCTCTCTCTCTCTCTCTATATATATATATATATATATATATGGATGGATGAATGTGTTTGCTCATCATATAGTGATTTTTCAGGGCCTAAGTAAAAGAACAAAAGAAATTGCAATCTAGTTATTGTTTTAATGAGTTTTGGTTAATATAATTTGTATGATAATTCATGTAACGTGTTTAAACATTCTGTAAATTTGAGAATTATGTCTGGTGTGTTTATTTTGTTTCCGAATCAGTTGTTTGCTATTTGGTTTTTTCAATTTTCATGAATTGGGTTTGGGTTGTAATGAACAGGAAGATAAACTTTGAGGCTGATTTTCAAAGCCGTTTCGCATAATCAACCAAACAGATTCTTGTGATTTTCTCTCGACCTGTTTCAGTTTGTTGTAGCCTTGTAGGACAGAATGGAATCGAAGTTCTGGAACCAGGTTTGTACTTCACCTCTGTAGTTGGATCAATTTTTCTTCTTAACTCCTGGATTCTACATTTTGATGAAATGTTAAGGAGCATGTTATGTGCTAGTTCCTTGTTTTCTTCATTTTTTAATAAAATTTTCATGTGTCATTTTAGACTGGTAGTGATTCGGAAGATGCTGATAGTGAGTATGATGAGGAGGCTGAAGCCACAAGCGTTGAGACTTCCAAACAGATTGACAACAAATACCGCACCAATGTGCTTCCTGACTATGTATCTGAGGATGAGAAGCGTGTTGTTAGATCGGTGAAGGACAAACGTTTCAATGAGATGAATACCACTGTTGACAAAATAAAGAATGCAAAGAACATAAATGACTGGGTGAGCATGCAGGACTGCTTTGACAAGATGAACAAGCAGCTTGAGAAGGTGATGCGTGTGACTGAGTCTGAAAAAGTACCGTCTCTGTACATCAAAGCGCTTGTTTTGTTGGAGGACTTTTTGGCTCAGGCTCTTGCAAATAAGGATGCTAAGAAGAAGATGAGTAGCAGCAATGCCAAGGCCTTGAACGCTATGAAACAGAAGCTGAAGAAGAACAATAAGCAGTATGAGGATTTGATTAGTAAGTACAGGGAGAATCCGGAGCAAAGCGAGGAAGAAGGGGGGGCAGAAGATGAGGTAAGTGAGAATGAAGAGACAGATTCTGAAATTGAGGATCCGAAAGATATTGCGCTTTCGGTTAGTGGAGATGGTGATGAAGAGGAAGAAGGTGATGGGGACAATGAGGATGGTTGGGTGAAGAAAATGAGTAAGAAGGATAAGCTCATGGACAAGCAGTTCATGAGGGACCCTAGTGAGATCACATGGGATATGATTAACAAGAAATTCAAAGAGGTTGTGGCAGCTCGGGGCAGGAAGGGAACTGGAAGGTTTGAACAGGTTGAGCAGCTTACCTTCTTAACAAAGGTTGCTAAGACCCCAGCACAGAAGCTTGAGATTCTTTTCAGTCTTGTTTCTGCTCAGTTTGATGTGAACCCTGGTCTCAGTGGGCACATGCCTATAAATGTATGGAAAAAGTGTGTGCAGAATATGCTTGTTATACTTGATATTTTGGTGCAATATCCTAACATTACGGTGGATGACATGATTGAGCCTGATGAGAATGAATCCCAGAAGGGACCAGATTATAACGAGACAATCAGAGTTTGGGGAAACTTGGTGGCCTTTGTGGAAAGGATAGATACTGAGTTCTTCAAGAGCTTGCAGTGCATTGACCCTCACACCCGTGAGTACATTGAAAGACTCAGAGATGAACCTATGTTTTTGACTCTTGCTCAAAATGTTCAAGAGTATCTCGAGAAGGCTGGAAGCTTTAAAGCTGCTGCAAAGGTGGCCCTAAGGCGGGTTGAGCTCGTGTATTATAAACCGCAAGAAGTTTATGCTGCCATGAAGATATTGGCAGAGCAGACAGAAGATGGTGAAACTGGTGGTGAAGGCCAGGAGCCTAAAGCAGTTGAGGAAAGTCGAGGTCCACCTGCATTTGTTTTAACTCCTGAGCTCGTTCCTCGGAAACCTACTTTTACTGAGAGTAGTAGGGCCTTGATGGATATTCTAGTTTCCCTCATATATAAGTATGGAGATGACCGGACAAAAGCTCGAGCAATGCTTTGTGACATTTACCACCATGCTCTCCTGGACGAGTTCTCTATCGCCCGTGACTTGCTGCTAATGAGTCACCTGCAAGATAGTATCTCGCATATGGACATTTCCACCCAAATACTGTTTAATAGGGCAATGGCACAACTTGGTCTGTGTGCATTTCGGAGTGGACTGATCCCTGAAGGGCATAGCTGCCTTTCTGAGCTATATTCTGGTGGAAGAGTAAGGGAGTTGCTTGCACAAGGTGTCTCCCAAAGTAGATATCATGAGAAAACTCCTGAACAGGTACCAATTCTTTTGTTTTGTTTTTCTATATAGTTATTCTCTATGTTTTCCTCGTACTTTCTTTATGATCTGAATTCATTAGGCGCACTGATGGTATAGATTTATAATCAAAATTCCACAAAGAACATTAATGTTGGTAAATCTGTTCGACGACATATGACCTTCAGCTAGTTCTGGATTAATTAGTTATGTCCCATTTGAAGAATTCTTTTAAGCAGATGTGACCTAATATTTTTTGTAAGATGTGTTACTTTCGGTTTGGTCAGACTCGATCCCAAGGAAACTCCTGATGTGTTCTTACCTTAGGGGTGAATTGATTTCATTTTTGAGCTATGTGATGGGGAAATGGCTGTGTGTTCTTCTTGCAAAGGAGTATATATATTTCATTTCTCTGCTTCTGTGCCTTTTGTGTTTGTCTATAGTCATTGAAACACAAAACTTTGAATGTTCTTTGAGTTAACTGATTCCACAAGTTGTCAATTTGATTCCCTGCCACAAGATTAGCTTAGTTTCCGGTGTTACAATTATGAAACGATAAGGGTGCTGCTCTTTGTCAAATTGCAATTTAGCATAATCTTCAATATTCTTAAGAAACAAACCAAAGGATTTGGTGAAGCAAATTGGTTAAACAAGCCATTCAAGGGAAACAACATATTCTGAAAAGCTGAAACCATAAACAGAGCATTTTGATTGGAGCCTAAGAAATCTTAAATTAGATTTTCTGCGCTGACTTATTTAGTTATAGTAGATAATAGTAATGTTCTATGTCTAATTTGCTATCAACTCTATTTTATAGAACTGATCCCCCCCTAATATTTTTGTTTCTTTGTTTCTGTTTTTATTTTTCAGGAAAGGCTGGAGAGAAGACGGCAGATGCCGTACCATATGCACATAAACCCTGAGCTCCTGGAGGCAGTTCATTTGATATGTGCCATGCTGCTAGAAGTGCCGAATACGGCAGCTAACATCCACGATACAAAACACAGAGTGATTAGCAAGACGTTCAGGCGGTTTCTTGAAATGAATGAGAAGCAAACATTCACAGGACCCCCTGAAAATGTCAGGGATCATGTAATGGCAGCTACCAGAGCCCTCAGCAAAGGTGACTTTGAAAAGGCCTTTAAGGTCATCAGTTCCCTTCATGTCTGGAAGCTCCTCAGGAAGCGCGAGAGTGTTCTTGAGATGCTCGAGGCTAAGATCAAGGAGGAGGCTCTGAGAACCTACCTCTTGACCTACTCCCCCGCATACAAGACTCTAAGTTTGGCACAGCTCTCCCAGATGTTCGAGATCTCAGAGGCGCAGGCTCATTGCATTGTGAGCAAGATGATGATCAACGATGAGCTGCGTGCTAGTTGGGATCAGCCGACACACTGCATTGTTTTCCATGATGTTGAGCACACTAGGCTGCAGGATCTAGCTTTCCAATTGACTGAGAAATTGTCAATCATTGCAGAAAGTAACGAAAGGGCAACCGAATTGAAGATAGGTGGTGGTGCTATAGAGCCTTCGAGGCGTAGGGACAGCCAGGACTATGGTGCTGGAACAACTGCAGTGAGTGGCAGGTGGCAAGATAACTTGTCATACACGCAAGGAAGGCAAGGTGGTGCCTCCGGGCGCACAGGATATAGATCAATGGCATATGGTCAAGCTGCAGGTGGGTATTCGAGGGATCGAACAGGCACAGGCCAGTACCGGGGAACAGGTCACAACACACGGTATCAAGATGCTGCATATGGAGGGTCAGGAAGGGCTGGATATCAAGCTGGTTCATCTGCAAGGGGGTCTCAGATGGATACTTCAACCCGTTTGGTTAGTCTAAACAGAGGAATTCGTGCTTAAGGAAACATAGCATAAAAGCAAGGCTGAAACTTTTTCCCCCTTGGAAACTATTGTTTTTATCGTTCGAGTTTATTTCTAGAGGTTTAAGTTGGAGTTTTGTGTGTTTTCTTTTGAATTGCGGCCATGTTTTCTTTTTGCTTGTTAAGAATAAGTTGCCTCTTTAGATTTGTGCCTGACCAGATTTTTATTTGATTTTTGTTTTGCCATCAGAAATACAATTTTTTTTTTCTTCTTTCTTTTACACCAGAAAACTACCAGCCCTTCCACCAAATGTAACAACATCCTCATCGTATCTAGTGCAGCAGCTTGAACTAAGTAGAAGAGGCATAGCATATTTTATGAGCTTTGCTTTTAGTAAGTTTTCACAAAGCCAATAAATGGTTTCCAAGGGTCACTAGCTGATCCACAATTCCACAATTCCCAAAGTAATTGCCATTCAACAAGTTATTATCCCACCCATACATACCCCACATTTCTTCTTCTTACGGCATCACATACACACAATAGGTCATTACGCGTTATAATTCGACACATACGGTATCAGATATACACAATAATTTAACTATCTAATTTATTAACGATTGCAAATTAAATCATTTTCGACAATTTTAGACCTAGTTGCAACTTGCAATGATTAATAAACTACAAGGTGCAATTGAAAACTTTCGTGGAAAACACATCAATTTTATATTTATTTAAATTTTATCTGAAAAACTAGATCAACAATATAATTTAGCAGTAAGTATGATGAATAGAATAAATATTAAAAAGCAAACCCCTCCCTCCTTTTCTATTTTTCTTCTCGTGTTGTCGTAGTCCTTGAAGAAAGCACGCGAGGCTCCCTCTCCACAACATGAGAAGAAATCACCTCTTGAGCCTCTGAACGAAAGGTGAGGTTTTAGCATCTTCCTCAGTGAGGCCAAGAGAGAACTTGGCGATGAGGGTTCCGGTTATGGCGAATCCAACCAGGAACGCCCAGTTCCGGTTCCATTCTCGCTCGAAAAAAATCGGCCACGGATTGAACTTACCTCATTTCTGATTTTCTCTTTCCTTCTCCAATTGCTCTCTCTCTCTCTCTCTCTCTCTCTCTCTTCTATAGCTTTATATTTGTTTTCTGAGTTAGAGGTTTAATTTTCGAGTGATATAATTATCTTTTTTCTCTTTCAGTAAATCAATTGCTTCTGTGCATCAAATCCCAATTTCAGTTCAGCTGCCGGAGTTAGGTTCTTTGAGTTCAGGTAAGTTTGCTTTGTGTATAATTTTACATTTGTATTGTTATGAATTTCTGATTTTAGTTTGGGAATAGATTTATTTTATTTTATTACCATTTATTGTTTCTTATGACAAGGTCTTATGCTAATGTAAATAATTTATAACAATACGTTGCAAAGTTCACATTCTATCAGCTGCTAATACATATGGAGGTGTGGATTTAATTTATGGGATGGTTTCGGGTTCCCTGTAATCTTTTGAGATTGTTTTGTTTATGGCATTTTTAAATGGGCTTGATTTTTGGTTTGGTAGAATGCATTTGATTGTGGTTTGGGTGATAGAGTGGTGAAGATGCAGATGGAGGTGTGGGTACTTTGTCTCTGTTAAAAGGAAATTGCAGGTTTATGGTTTGGTTTAAACAATTGTGTGGCTGTGTGTTCGCTTTAGGTGTCAGTGTCGTGATGCAAAGGAGACTGTGTTTCTAGGTTTAAATTCTGTGTTTCTATGTACATAATTGGGTGATTTCTTAATATTTCTATAAGGTTATTTCAGTTTGTTTTCTGTTTGATTTGGAGAGCTGTGCTTGGCATGATTGTTTTCTTTAAACTTGGTTGATTTAGGTTTGGCCAGAAGGTGCTGGCAATGGCGACAGCGACATATCCACCACCACCACCGTATTATAAGCTCTACAAAGATTACTTGCAAGATCCCAAATCAGCTCCGGAGCCACCCCCTCCGATTGAAGGGACATACATTTGCTATGGTGGCAATTACACTGTGAGCTTTTCTCATTCTTTGCATTCTTCCTGTCAAAATTTATATAAACTGTGTAATTTGATTCCTGAAAATTGCTTTTGTCACTAATAACTGGATGCTAGAAGTTTTGGTGAAAAGTAAAATTTGTTGAATGTACTGTTTGAATAATGCCATCTCTCCTTTATAGCAGTTGCTTTAGCCAGGAATGTCATATATGTACCTTTAAAGTTGTTGGCTTTGAATGTTGAGTTTGGAAAATATGTGTAATTCTATTATTTACTGTGTTGATGTTATCAATGTATGATTTCTTTGCTTTCCTTGTAATCTCTTCTTAATTAGTTTTTTCCTATTTTATATAGACTGATGACATTCTTCCGAGCTTGGAAGATCAGGGAGTGCGTCAACTGTATCCAAAAGGCCCAAACATTGGTATGCCTCCCTCCGTTCTAGTTTTAATTATTTGTATTGTCATGTGAAATTACTGCTTTTGAAATTTAGGAATTAATGTGAACATTTTCTTGCTTCAACCATTGTTGCAATCATCATTTATTGCAGTTTCTTCTTAGCGTTGGTTGAATTATCTTTTTTTTTTTTTTTTTAAGAAGAAACGAAATTTATAAAGCAAAAGAACACGGAGGTGGATAAGACAACCACAACCAGAGAACAACACCAACACACAAAGAAACAAACAACACCAACCCCTCCCAAACTAACAGGGAGGAGCAAAGCCAAAAAACCACTGAAACAACACACCCCCCAACCCTCACATAACCACTGCTGCCATATCCCACAAAGCTGCCCAGTCTTAACTCTATCCCACAAATCACTCACTCCCACCCCCTTGTAGTCTTCACAAATTCTCCTATTACGCTCCATCCAAATGTTCCAGAAAGATGTTAGCAAAAGAGAGGTTTTCTTTGCTAAGTCAGAACACGGTTACTAGACTGAGAAATGTTCTCTTGGTTACAGTTATCTACGACTTTCTTTTTTACAGTTACTCCACATTTCTGATTGATTGCCATAGTTTTCTAGGCTATGGTATATATCCAATCCATACTAGAAAATGTTGTCATGCATGATAGATCCGTCATTACAACTAAAATATGATCCCTTAATGAGCCTTCTTTAGTGCAATACAAAAGTCCTCTCTAGAAAGGAGAAGAATGTTAGGGGTTATGTATCATATGGTTTGCAGAGTATGATTTTATTGATAATAACTAACAAGAAACAAATAAGAACTGCATGTGCACATGCGTGTATGTCTGTGTTTATTCTAGTGTTTTCTTATATATATATATATATATATATTTTTTTTTTGGGCATGCGTTTGTTTTTCGCCTCTAAAATGTTTTATGCTTCTCTTACAAAAATTGTGATCCTTCTTAGATTTTAAGAAGGAACTGAGGTCACTTAACAGAGAATTGCAGCTGCACATTTTGGAGCTGGCGGATATTCTTGTAGAGAGACCATCACAGTACGCAAGGAGAGTGGAAGATATATCTCTTATCTTCAAGAACTTGCATCATCTTCTCAACTCATTGCGTCCACATCAAGTAAGATAGTTTTGGGTCTCAGAATGCGCTGTATTGGTTTGTGTTTGAGGTACTTTATTTTGTAATGTATTTTATCATACAGGCTAGGGCAACGCTAATTCACATTCTAGAACTTCAGATACAACGTCGTAAACAAGCTGTGGAGGATATAAAGAGGTATGCTTTCAACAATTACCGAAAAGATTTGTGGTCTGAGGCTGAAATGTTTTGCTTTTTTTTTTCCAAAACAGTTGAAAGAAAATTTCTCTGTCCTTTGATCATTTAAATGGATAGCTTATTATCATTTTATTTAGAGTAAAATTACTTTAATCTACTAGGCTATTCTTTTGGTGTATTGTTTAAGTTGTTATAGAAAGACTCCCCTGTTCTTGTATGTGAGGCATCGAAATGTTGATTTTTAGTTTCTTTCAACTTTGAATTATGAGGTTAAAAGTAAACAGTGGTGTGTGCGTGGTCAGTGTAAGAGTTTGAAGATGCATATAAATTCCTTAAATCTACTGGTACTGTGACTCTGTAATCAAACTGCCATGTGGATTGGATGTTACATAATTGCTTGTGACTATTTGCTTCACTTTCTTGTTTAGGAGGAGAGAAGAAGCACAGAGACTTCTCAAGGAGTCTATTGGAACGTTGGAGGACACCGGCGCATCTTTTGTGCTAAAGTAAGGGAGTGTGCTCATGTTCGTTCTGCCTCCGATTGAAGCCTCTTGGACAGTTGCATCTTAATACCTTCATCATGCTTTATGTATTAGAAAAATTATAGGTTCAATTGTCATTGTAATCAGAGTAAAAGCAATTTGATAGCGTGCATGATAGTGTTCTCTCTTGCTCTGAAATTCTTATTTACCGATTGCCAAAGAAGAAAACATAGTTTCGACAAAGTCAATAGATCATGACAAGAACCCTAGAATACACTAGCGGAACTAGGACAAAGGCTACAGTGGGCTGTAGCCTGGGGAGGTTTTTGGGGATAAACAAAAATCAAACCTATATATTTGCCTTATTTTAAATATATGGGGTATGTCTTAACCTATTAAAATCCAAAACAAATCTAATTCCTTATGAATTTAGTTGCAGGGCAACAATAAAAGTACACATTAGAATAAGTATATTTTCAATTATGTTGTTGAACATATTTTCATTTTGACAATATGTGATTTTTGGTTGTATTTAATATATATTTATTTTTATGTTAAAGCTTATTGGAAATTGTTAGGGGCTAGCTCCAATAGTTGAGACCATTTACAATTGCACTTGAGGTCCGAGGTTCAATTCCCCCACTCCAATATTGTTTATCACAAAAGAAACTTATTTAAAAATAGTGAATGAAACTATGAACAAACGTTGTTTATATAATTTAATGTAAACTTTTATTTTTAAAAAAATTATAGAAACTGTAAGTACATAAATTAATGATGATGAAATTTGTAGCTAATAACTTTAGCTAGCTCATGTACACTTTTATTTTTAAAAAAATTATAGAAACTGTAAGTACATAAATTAATGATGATGAAATTTGTAGCTAATAACTTTAACTAGCCCAATTCACCCGTTGAAAAATTCATACTTCCGTTATTGCTAGAATATGTTCAATAAATGGATCGGATGGAGGGGCGACAAACAAGAAGATGAAAATGATGCACTATGGGATGGGACAGGTCCGTTTTTGACAAGCTTTAATCGATTATTGACATTAAAATGGTGAAACAGGTGGAGTCGATGTCAATATGGTGTAAGGTCTTGTCCATTCACAATGCGGACAGCGGACAAAACATATAATTGCCCAATAGTAGAATAATAAACTAGCTATTAATTGGGTGATATTTTTCTTCACATTATAGGGTTTATGTCAAACTTTAATTCGTGTATTGCAAATTACAAAAGATATGCGGTTTAAGTCTATTGATCAGGTAGGTAGTCTTTCGATCTTTTTGCACGTGAGTTCATGTACAACATTGTATAAAAATTGATTGATGTCCTTGTTGGCAGGCCATGCATTAGGCGTCATGTGTTAATGACTAGACCATGTTATACAACCTACTTTTCTTAATTTCCAAATTACATGGTGTAAGCATGCTTATATTGAATATTATGCATTGTTTGTTATAAACGTGTCGATGGGATGTGCTCCATCATATTTGCGTGTTAGTTGAGAAATAATAGTTAGGAAGACAGTTGGGTAGCGTTTGTTTTGTTGGAGCAAATGCTTGAAAGAAGAAAATAAATTTGGAATTTAGATAAAAGTCATAACTTTTGAATTGACATGCACCTACACTTTTGTTTGGATTCATTAAAATATATAAATTTAAAATATTTTTGTGAAAAAATTTAGAATTTCGAAGTTATAAATTATAAAATTAAATTTTATCTAAGTAGTCATTATTTTTAAAAATTTAAGAGCTATACTTTAAAAAAAAAAAAAAACATATACCACATATTTATACCACCACCACTTTATCATGAGTATCGCCATTGATTTGCAATTCTATATAAATAGTCATTATTTCTAAAATTACAAGAGTGAAAGATTTAAAGATAAATAAAACAAAATTAATTATGTATCACATCGCCTATCTCATTAGCATCGCCGCCGTTGCCGCCACCGCACTCCTACCACACCACCACCTTACTACTAGTAGCACTAAAACCATCATTACACATGATGCCACCTCTACTGTCACTGTCATTAATCCCTCCAAAAAGATTAGTTTTAAATTTCATTAGAGTTTTAATTTGTAAAGCATTAAATTCTTGATAAAATCCTCATTGCTATAAATATCTAATTACTTAATTAGTATAACACATGATCAGTCTTAATTAATTTTCTAAACTCTCCGTCTCTCTCAGTGAGGACACCTGGAGCCTTGACGACAAACGCCTAAGAAATAGAGACCTTTTAGTTGTCGGAAAATCAAAGAGTCGTTTAAGTTTTCTCGAGAAACAAACAGAAAACCCTAGCTTTGAAATTCTCGGGGCCATCGTCAATGGCGGTCTCAGAGGAAGAGTGTTCGTCTGCAAAGTCCCGATCATCGTCATCAGCCTCCTCCAGCAGCTCTCACTACCTCGCCAAGTGCGTCCTCCGAGGGAGCGTTGTTCTTCAGGTTCTCTATGGTCACATCCGCTTTCCCACTTCCTACGACGTCGTCTTCGGGAAGGTCATCTATCTCTCTCACTTTTCATGTTGTTCACCCACTTGCCTGCAGCTATTGTGAGCAGGAGGGTAATTTTGTTGGATTTAGAAACAGAGTACTGCTTTTGTGATCAAGCTCTTCTTATTTAATTGTAATTTTGTTGGAATTAGAAAAGAAAAGAACTGCTTTTGCTTGATATTAATCTTGCCTAAGCTCAGAAGTAAATAGCTTAATCTAACTGTTAATGGTTCGTGGCAAATTTGAAATTCAGGAGACTTCCATAGAGTTGGTCATAATTGGTGAAGATGGGATTGTACAGTCTATATGTGAGCAGCCTGTGTTTGGTACCATTAAAGACATTGCCATCCTACCCTCGAATGACAAATTCCGCACCCAAAACCCACAGGTTTCTCGTTTACTTGGAGAACCTTACAAATTTCTTTCTTCCTTTTTGTATTTCAAAAATTAACAAAGTTGTATTCATCTTCTCGTGGTAGATGCTGGGTAAAGACCTTTTGGTTGTTATTTCTGATTCTGGGAACCTCTCATTTCTCTCTTTTTGCAATGAAATGCACAGGTAAATATACGTTTTCTTGCTTTCTTCAACTTTTCGTTTTTGGTGTTACTTCTTGATGAACAGTGCAATAAAATAAAAAACCAGCTATATGACAGTAAGCGTCTCCAATACCGAGCAAAAGGTTTGTTTAGGATATGCACCAAGTATAATAATGGAACGTAACCATGCCTCCCAATTATATATTCCAAATTGTCAACACTGACAATCCACCCTTCTCTGCTGCTTACTCTTATCATATTTGGAAATGTTTTACGTAGGTTTTTTCCTGTGACACAAGTTCAACTTTCTAATCCTGGAAATTCAAGGAATCAGCTTGGAAGAATGCTAGCCATTGATTCAAGGTAAGTCACCATTGTGGTTGAAACTTTTTGAAAAAAGGTTTTATAACTTAGTTTGGTTTAACATGTATTCCTTCTCCTCTCCTTTCAATTTCCATGATGAAATTACTTTGTACTTGCAATATAATCATTTGCTCTGTCGTGTCATGTCTTCTCATGTAATAGTTTATAATCTTTAGCTAGTTGCTATGCACCCTGAACTAGTTCAGCCAATAAAGATATGCAAATTATTTGTTTACTAGATTTCTTGTTGTTTTCCTGGAAAACTTTAGGACATTGCTATAGAATATTAAATGTAATTTTACTTCTCTTGCATTAGATTCTGCAAACAATGTATGTTCTTGTGTGATAGAAAAGTGTAACTTAAACATTGTCGAGTAAAAAAATTAAAAATAGTTTTTTTAGTAGTTAGGAGAGGGAGAAAATAAAAGTGGGTAAGAAAGAGGGAATATAAGGGGGAATTAGGTAAAGGACTGAAAATTGAACTGAAAAGTGGAGCAGTGGGGTATAAGATAATATTTTTTGTTGTTAAATAAATGCTTTTTTTTTTTTTAATACCATTTTAATCCTGAATGTTCCTCTTTTTCCCCCCCCTATCAAACAGCTGTGGGTATTTTGTGGAATAATTGTAAGCTTTGTCTTTTAGGAAGAAAGTTTAGTACATGGTAAGCACAACTTCGCTTGTTCATGTGTTTGCTTATTATATGTTTGTTCTTTTCTTATGCTCTAGTGCATGTGGTAGAGATTTCAGTGAAACAGATATTCTCTGATAGGTATAGTCTATGCATAAACTCTTCCATACCACCTCAGCCGCATCAGGCCACTTCTTGGGATGGGAGTGACCCAGCCTACATGCATCATTTGATGAAAATAGTGACGTCCATAAACTAATGAATATGTAAATAGAAGCTCTTGGCAGTCCAGTTATTTTTTTGTAGTCCTAATTTCTATGTTTATGCTTTTACAGTGGCTGTTTCATTGCTGCTAGTGCTTATGAAAACCAGTTGGCTATGTTCTCTGTTTCAGTGTCTGGAGGCAGTGACATTATTGATAAGGTTGAGCTGCTTTCCCTTCTTCTTATTATAGGTTTTACAGTATTGTATATTTTAGAGAAAATGACATGAATTTTGTTTGTATAGAAAAAGAACATATGAAGCTTCTTTATTTTCTTTTTTACCGCAAATTTTTCATGCGAAGTTTTTCAGATGTTCTGTTGTCCAAATTTCAGAAAATAGTCTTCCCCCCCGAAAAAGAAGCAGATGCTAGTGCTGCCAGAGTTCAAAAAGACAGTATATGTGGTACTATATGGAGCATGAGCTTTATTTCAAAGGATCCTAGTCAATCAAGTAAGGGGCATAATCCTGTACTTGCCGTTCTTCTAAATAGGTATGATTGTCATGTGTGTTAGGGGTAAAAAAATGCGCTTTCAATTGTTTACATGGTTTGAAGATAGAAGTCATTTTCACATTCTGATGACTCTATATACAATGGGAAAATTTTGGCATTGCAGGAGGGGGGCAGTCCTTAATGAATTGCTGTTACTGGGATGGAATATTAGTGAACAGGAAATTTATGTGATTTCTACGTATACTGAAGATGGACCGTTAGCACATAGTATTGTTGAAGTTCCTCATTCTTATGGATTTGCTTTTATGTTTAGGGAGGGTGATGCTCTCCTAATGGATCTTAGAGATGCACAGATCCCCTATTGTGTCCACAAAACAAGCCCAAATTTCTTATCCAATGTGGTTGATGAGGCAAATTTTGTTCAAGAGTCATCTAGAGGATGTGATCTATCTAGAGTACTTCAGGTTGATGATGAAGGAGGTTTATTTAATGTAGCTGCATGTGCTTTACTAGAACTAAGCGATTTAGATCCAATGTGTATAGATGGTGACAAATACAATGTGAATGTGACTTACAAACATGTGTGTTCATGGAGTTGGGAACCGGGAAATGCTAAAAATCCCAGAATGATCATTTGTGCAGATACAGGAGAATATTTCATGATTGAAATTATCTTTGGTCCTGATGGACTTAAGGTTCAAGAATCTGAGTGTCTTTACAAAGGTTTACCCTGCAAGGCAGTTTTGTGGGTTGAAGGCGGGTTTCTGGCTGCAATAGTAGAGATGGGAGACGGGATGGTATTGAAAATGGAAAATGGGGCACTTCTTTATGCAAGTCCTATTCAAAATATTGCCCCAGTATTGGATATGTCAGTTGTGGATTACCATGATGAAAAACATGATCAAATGTTTGCCTGTTGTGGAGTGGCACCGGAGGGGTCACTAAGGATTATTAGGAATGGTATAAGTGTGGAAAAGCTACTGAGGACTGCACCTATATATCAAGGGATTACTGGTACTTGGACATTACGAATGAAAGTAATTGATTCTTACCATTCTTTTCTTGTGCTATCATTTGTTGAGGAGACCAGAGTATTATCAGTTGGTTTAAGCTTTACTGATGTGACGGATTCAGTTGGTTTTCAGCCTGACGTTTCTACTTTGGCCTCCGGTGTTGTAAATGATGGATTGCTGATTCAGATTCACAAAAGTGCAGTTAGGCTCTGTTTACCCACCAAGGCTGCCCACTCTGAAGGTATTCCACTGCCTTCTCCGGTTTGCACATCTTGGTTCCCAGAAAATATGAGTATCAGTTTGGGGGCTGTTGGACATAATCTAATTGTTGTTTCTTCGTCTAATCCATGCTTTTTATTCATTCTTGGGGTTAGATTGCTTTCGGCGCATCATTATGAAATATATGAAATGCAACATTTGAGATTGCAAAATGAATTATCGTGTGTTTCCATTCCTCAGAAATGTTTTGAGGGAACCAGTCTGGTGGATAATAGCTGTGCTGCCACCCTTCCATTTGGAGTTGACATCAGTAATATCTTTGTTATTGGCACGCACAAGCCTTCAGTGGAAGTTTTGTCTCTTGTGCCTAATGAAGGACTGAGAGTTCTTGCTTCTGGGACGATCTCGTTAACAAATACTTTGGGAACTGCTATTAGTGGCTGCATTCCTCAAGATGTAAGGCTTGTATTAGTGGACCGATTGTATGTCCTTTCGGGATTGAGGAATGGAATGCTGCTTCGTTTTGAATGGCCTGCTTCACCAACAATGCCTAAAATATATGATGTTAAGTTCTCTGAGAAGACAAAAGACAAATTTCCTATTGAACTTCAGTTGATTGCTACACGTCGGATTGGCATCACCCCTGTTTTCTTGGTTCCTTTGAGTGACTCGCTAGATGGTGATATAGTTGTTCTCAGTGATAGGCCTTGGTTGTTGCATACTGCAAGGCACAGCCTCTCATATACTTCTATCTCATTTCAATCTTCGACGCATGTCACTCCTGTATGTTATGTGGAATGCCCTAAGGGAATTTTATTTGTTGCAGAAAACTGTCTACATTTGGTGAGAGTTCTACTCCATATTGTTATTTGCTCTTGTTGGTCTATATATTTCATTTTGTTGAATCTAGTTTTATCAATATGTTTTTGTTTGATTTTAGTTCTACTCTTGTCAGCTTGTAATTATGCCTTCAATCTATGAAGTGTATGGAGCCTTGTGCAAAAAGGTTTATCTTGAGTATATTACCATATTAACTGCCGCTAATTTTTCTATATAGTTTAGATTTAATTTTCACAGAACTGGGATTTCTAGATTTTCATGGAATTTCTATTTTCTTTTCATTTGGGAACTGTGGATGTTTGTGTCCATTTGATGGTATTTTTGAGGTTTTGAATAAATATACTTATTTTCATTCTTAATCACAGATGTCCTATGCTCTCGTCTTTCAGAACGTAGGACTATGGGAATTATGTTCCAGTTAAAAAATTTGTTCTATGCTATTATATGATTAGAATTAGACAGATGTTCATGCATTTCCACAGATGTCCTAGCAGGCTAGATGTTCCTATATGATTGTTGAAACAAAAGGTTGATGGATTGTATATCCCATTGAATGTATTGTCAGTAAATGGAATTTCACTTGTGCTCAATGTCTTTGCCTTGTTAAATAAAAGAGATATTCCCTGACAATATTTGGAACAAGATTGATGAGTGGAACTGGCCGAATCTGTGAAGTTGATTAGCTTCTAATGTTTGGATACTGAATTTTTTAAAGAATGATAAGGTGTAGTAAATAAACTAACACTTCCCTAGAAAATCTTATCATAGTTGCTGAGGTCATTTGGCATTGTCCAAGGACATTTGACTGAGTTATGCCTTAACCAAGGTTGGGTGGAGTTTGGGACCTCCCAATGCATAGGAATTGCAAGTCTTTGTATTTTCAAATTACGCTTGTGTGTACGCATATGTGAGTGAGTGCTTGCTTGTGAGCTTAAAAGCTTGTGAGTCTGTGGGGCTCATGTTTGTAATGTTTTTTTTTTCCCTTAATTTGTTTTACTAAATTATCTTGAAGTTGGATATATTGATTCTAGCAGTGTTATATGATGATTCTAGGTAGAGATGGTGCATAGTAAGAGGCTTAATGTGCAGAAGTTTCATCTTGGAGGCACTCCGAGGGAGGTCCTTTATCATAGTGAAAGCAGGCTATTGCTTGTGATGAGGACTGATTTGAGTAATGATACATCTTCATCCGATATATGCTGTGTAGATCCTCTTAGTGGGTCAGTGCTGTCATCTTTCAAACTTGAACCCGGTGAAACAGGGAAATCCATGGAGTTAGTGAGGGTTGGAAATGAACAGGTTCTTGTGGTTGGGACGAGTTTATCTTCTGGTCCAGCCATAATGCCTAGTGGTGAGGCTGAGAGGTAAAGCATGTGTCCTTATTTCTCTCTCTTCCTCAGAGTTTAAAAGGTTCAGTTGTAAATGGAAGTTTTTCAGGGTCTTCAATGTTAACTAATTTCCAGGCATTGTGTCAATGTGTAAATGTTTGAGGGTCATTCTCAATTCCTTTTGTTTGATAGGCATGCATTCTGACTGGATTCTTGTTAACAGTACCAAGGGACGTCTTATTGTTCTCTGTCTTGAACATGTGCAAAATTCAGACAGTGGCTCAATGACATTATGCTCAAAGGCAGGGTCATCTTCTCAACGTGCATCTCCATTTCATGAAATTGTTGGGTATGCCACAGAACAGCTTTCAAGCAGTAGTCTTTGCAGTAGCCCAGATGATACGAGCTGTGATGGAATTAAACTTGAAGAAACTGAAGCATGGCAGTTTCGATTGGCTTATGTAACCAAATGGCCTGGGATGGTGCTTGCAATCTGTCCTTATCTTGATCGTTACTTCTTGGCGTCTTCTGGTAATGCTGTAAGTAGCAAACTTCTTTCTTTCTTATTCTTTCTTCTTTCTTTTCCCTATATATTGTTCTATATGCGTGTTTTAAAGTTTTGTAGTTGGAAGATAAGGTTAATCTGGTTTATTGTATGACAACTGTTGATGAATATATTGGTCTTCTTTTCTCAGTTTTATGTATGCGGGTTTCCAAATGACAATTCCCAAAGAGTGAGAAAGTTTGCTTGGGCAAGGACACGTTTTATGATTACGTCTTTGACTGCACATTTCACTACAATTGCTGTTGGTGATTGTCGTGATGGTGTTCTTTTCTATGCTTATCATGAGGTAAGCTTCATCGATCTCTCCTCTCTTTACTTTTTTTGTTTATTTTTCTTTGTCTAAGTAACTTTTACGTTAGAAGTTACGATATGGTCACACCTTGTACTTTGTATTATTTGTCCTGATATTGTTTGCTTTTCTTTCTTGTGTGGAAGGATTCCAAAAAGCTGCAGCAACTGTACTTTGATCCATGTCAGAGATTAGTTGCTGATTGCATTCTTATGGATGTCAATACTGCTGTTGTTTCAGATCGTAAGGGAAGCATTGCTGTTCTTTCTTGTGCAGATTATTTAGAAGGTAAAAGATTAAATTTCCTGTGAAATTGTAAATCAATGTCTTCAAATCTTTTTGTCTTCCAGCTTAAGTCCTGTAAAACCCAGTTGAGGGTTGGAACAGAAGCAGCAGGATGTGCAACTCAGAAATTGCTTATAGAGATTAACGTTGGACTATCTGTGTATTTGCTTTAAATATGAAGAGAAATTGATTGTCTTTTGGAAGTATGATTTTTTAGCTGATACCAACTTGTATAGCATTCAAAATGATTGTCTTGTTTGACTACAATGTGCAAGTTGATTTGGTCAGAAATATAGAAATTTTGTGAATTATACATGGTTTGTAATTTTAGAAAACACAAAAGGAAGAAACTAATATCAGATATATTATTTCACAACTTATTTGTTATTGACACGAAGCTTGTAACATAGTAAAATGCATTTTCCTTATCACGATGTTGGGAAAACATTGCTAATGTGGTACTTGCTCGTCAGGAACAGATTCTATGATTTAAATCATTATAGAGAAATGCTCCACTGCAATTGGCATGATGGTGAAGTAGAAATTTATTTTGTGGGAAACTGAGTTTTTTGTTTTACAAATGGTTTTTTATATTTCAGACAGCCTTAAATTAAATGCTAATGAGCCTACACTACTTCATAAATTTCGTGATGTTTAATGTCAAGATAGTGTTATCAATGTATGGTGGTGGTGGATTCTTGACAGACAAATAATGGTGGTAGTCAAATTTATTAATACCTTCATATTGTTTGGTTTCTATCATTTTTTCTTCAGACCTTGTTCATGCTCTATGCTTCGTCTGGAAGTGGTACCGTTTTAACCTTTTTTCTTCTTACAATTCTGTGTACCAGATACCGCAAGTCCAGAATGTAATTTAACAGTGAGCTGTGCTTATTATATGGGCGAGATAGCTATGAGCATCAGGAAGGTACATCTTTACTCTGTGTCTTCTTAGCTACTGGATTATAGCCTTTAAACGTTCGAAGTTCAAATTGTTAATGCCTGAAGTAACTGAAGGAATTGAATTTAGGTATACCTATCTGGAGTTGACATGTAATGATGATGCGGAAAAATTAGGAAGAAAGCAAAAAGAGGGAAATATAGGGAGAGGAGAGAGAGAGAGAGAGAGAACAAGAGGAATGAAGATAGGATTTCAATCTTTAATATCAATCCTGGTATTAAAAAATCTGTAATTTCACTCCAGTATTCAAGTCTGCTTTTGTAGGTTGCAATCAGCCGTACTTGGAGCCCCAATGAGGAAATAAAGCCAACAAGAAACCTTTCTAGTAAATAGGAAAGCAAACCCTAATGGTTATTGACTCCTTTTTTTTTTTTTCCTCAAAATAAGTGAAAGAGATCCTGATTAAAAAGCAGTCCTTGCAAGGTTAATTTGCTCCTGCTAGATATTAATTTTCATGACTCATGAGTATATAAAAGACTAACATAAATGGGCTGTAACTTATAAGCAACATTCACCAAGACCAACTTTTTTCTTTTGTTAATGAATGAAAGTAATAATATACATCATGAATTTAACAGTTTGGTACAAAAGTGCGTACGTAAGTGGATGCTTGCAATATAGAAATGATGAAATGTCCATGAGAGCGTGATAACTTGATATTATTAGATTAGAAAATATACTTTCAGAAACTATTTCTATTGCTCGTTGCTGAACTTCTGGTTCTTAAAGTACCTTATAAATTGTTGTGAAATGTCTTGATGCTTACCTTGTGGTTACATTAATAATTTTCTTTCTAGGGATCATTTTCATATAAACTCCCAGCTGATGATGTATTGAAGGGTAGTGATGGAAATATCGACTTCTCTCAAAACGCCATCATTGTGAGTACACTGCTTGGAAGCATAATAACCTTCGTGCCAATATCAAGGTGTGCAAAATAGCCTTAATTCCCTTTTACTAACCTTCCTTTTCAAAAAAGTTGCACCATCATGCTTTTAGACCTGGCATCAAATAAAAGGCGTCAGACATCCTAGAGATGCATCTAAAGTCTTTATGTGCTATTATTGCCTACACATGGTGGTAGATCATTTGAGCAAGTAAGCTTGGCTCACCACCAATTTCCGGGGATTTAGCCTGTGTTTTTATAACTCGTTTTACCATTAACATAGTGAAGCTGCCTCTGGAAAGACATAATTTTTTTGAAGAAAATGTCTGTTTGTTGAGCTAGGTGAGGCAATGAAAAATCTAAGAATCCTGACTTTTGTAGTTAAGGTACTAATTTTCTATACCCTCCTAAAGTGAAAGTCTCTAGTCGCCATAAACCAATATGCATTATGCATCTTGTCTTTATTGGTTCCCCCAGCCACAGATGCACTGAAGTTTCTATGGTTACTTTTACAAATGTTCAATGTTCTTCTTAATAGTAGATGGTCAATGTGTTTGTCTTTTTATTGTAAATCTTGATTGGAATTTAACATCATGCTTAATAGATATCTATTTTATTTTACTAAAATATTTATTTATGCTTTCCAGGGAAGAATATGAACTCTTAGAAGCTGTCCAAGATAGACTAGTGGTGCATCCATTAACTGCTCCTATTCTTGGGAATGATCATAATGAGTATCGTAGTCGTGAAAATCCGGTAAGAACTGTAGGATCTCGTAAATCTTTTCCTATATGTACTGGCATGCTTACTTGTGCATGAACACTAGTACTATGCATAAAATATGTCATGTTATTTATCTTTTGGATATATATTTTCCTGTTATCTTTTTCCCTTTTGCCTTTGGAGTTTGTTACGGGGGTATACCATGAATGTGTTGCTATTTCTATTTGTGCTTAAAGTGATTGGGTTGACAAAGAAATTGGTCGATGCCAGCATCCAAATTTAATCAGATTAGTTTCATTTAGTATAATACACGGTTGACAGTTCGATTTAAAATCTGATTCTTAAAATTGATTACAACTGATTGAGAAAATTGTTTCCAACAGAAACCTTAATAAATTTGATGGTTTGGTTTTCAATTCTAATGTGCCTTTGATTAGCTGGAGAGATGAGTTTGAGAGTAAGAAATAAAAAAAGAATACTGCTACATCATACGTAGTTTCATTTTGAAATATGGGGTGCATCAGATGTTATTGTATGTAAAGATGAATATTTTATGTTGTTATCATGCCTCTCTGTGCATGAGTGATGCGTGTGTGAGCATGTGTGTATTATTTGATGATGCAGGTAGGAGTACCTAAGATACTTGATGGTGACATGCTCTCTCAATTCTTGGAGCTGACTGGTATGCAACAAGAGGCAGTATTATCATCACCTCTTGGGGCACAAGGCACTGTAAAGCCCGGTTTGAAATCGCGATATGCGCTAATCCCTGTTAATCAGGTTGTGCAACTCCTTGAGCGGGTTCACTATGCCCTAAACTAAATATTTATTTTCTTTCGATCATGATCTGGAGATGGGCTTTCAAGTCTCCACGGAGGAAGCATCTGATGCCAATTATCTTTAGTTGTACCTCCTTTTTGCCTGGACAAGTGAATGGCAACTGTGCACATTTGAGTGTGCACGACCTTGTTGCGAATCTCTACTCTCAACTGTTAATACCATGGAGCTAACCATCATACTGATGAAGCGTATCTTAGAGTCACATTCTTTCATCAAATTCAATGAGGGGGCAAAAAGTGCGCAACATGGATGAATTTGCCTGTCATTTTATGTAACATATCGCATTGTTCCTTGTATTGTAGAATTGGTTATACGTATAATACGCCGAGAAACAGATGAGAGAGTTAATTCTGTATATTAGATAAATGTGCCTGTTCTTCTGTGGCTGCAGAAGCATAAAGCAATTAATGTAACATTTTGCTTACGGCTGGAGTCATTTTTCTCAATGAAGTGCCTTTTACATCTGTATGTCAAAGCTTTCCTGAAAAAAGTATTCATCTGGTGCCATTTACCTAAGTACGTTATAAAAAGTAATTTTAGTTACAAAGTACTCCCAAATAGATCCCAATTAAAAAAGACCCGAACGTATTCCTCCCAACTAGAAAGGAACAATATGTGTTGGCTGAAAGCAGCATCGAGCTACCACCTAAACCATTCCTATCCACCACAAGAGAAGAGAAGACGAAAAAAACAAAAAAGATCGCCCCATCAGGATGATCTTTAAGCCCTGCTGACTGTGGACGTTCACATTAGGATCCTTAACCCTAGTGACCCATTTTAGTGCTCGAACTGTTTAAGGCTTCACTTCAGTGCGTAGATCTCGGATGCAAAAGACGCTATTATGTCCAATTGATCTAACTCACGTATGCTCGTGCATGAAACATTATCCTTAGAATATCTTAACCTTACTGCGGAAATTATTGTCAGTTTGTGGCTCAAAGAGCAATTTACTTGACTTGCTTGAAGATCTTTGATTATAAACTCCCTTTAGAAGAAAGTCCTCTCTCGCTGCCCCTACCTAATACCATATGCAAACGAAGTTATTTGTTGTTGTGTAATTACCATATGCAAACAATATTTTCCGTATAGTCAATCAGATGAGTTCGATAGCTGATTCCCAGAAGAAAAGGTTATCGAAAAGAGAAAAAGATTGGTACATCTTCAAGTGGATTAGTGATGATTACTTGTACAGTACAGGGCATGGGACAAGAAGTGAATTGTAGATTTATCATTTTCGATCGAAAAAACTGAAAAGCAAAGACACTTCAAAACCCTAATAAGCAGTAAAATTCCAAGCACTTCGAAGAAACATCCTTGCATATGAAGCGTGCATGCATACTCTAAAGTTGTTGGGAAATACATGTAATCAATGTATCTCAAGCTTACACCCTCGTCGCGCCACATGCGACTCCAAACAGCTACAGCCTACAGAGGTGGACATATGTGCAGGTCAAGGTCAACCATGCACATTGCAACCTAGCACACAAGTCTGGATTGTGATTTGAATGTTTCGAATACTTGGGGCATTTGCAAACCATAACTCTAATATCATATTAGACAATCATCATATCCAAAAAATCTTTGACTGTTAAAGAAATTCGAACAAGAATAATAACTAAGTACATGAGCGATGTTACTGTGGAAAGAAAGTTGTATACTTTGTGGTATACAGTAAGTTTTCACTGCTAGTCCTTTGATGTTTTTAGGTGTTAGGGAAATGAATCGAATCATTGACCTAACTTAATTCTAATCAATTTTCTCACTCATTCTCACCACTTGGAGTAATTTTTGGGTCGGACCGTAACATTGTTATTTAGTTTTACAAATTCTCCACTCTGTTTGGTTCAAGGTTTAGGAGTTTGGTAATGGGTTTCAAATTGCATTCCCATATTTGATAAGTGCACTCTTAGGAATGTAATGATGGACTTATGAGAATGGACTTCCCATGTAGTGCGGAATTTCATATCATTGGCTCACCTTGGGAAACTTTTTTCCCCCACTTGGAAAAGCATTTAATGCAGCTCTTTTTGCACTAGCTTACTCATATTATTATTTTTAAATACCGCTTTTGATCCTTAAAAAACTCTTCATATTAATAACTTTTAATAATAAAAAATCAAGGGTATTGTTGGAAAACTAAACAACTTTTCATTTCTAATACTGCACTAACCAAACATGAGAATGTGATAAAATGTCATTTCATAGTCCTCATTTCTCAGCGTTCCCAAACATGGGAACGAACATCCTCCGTTCCCATCCCTTAGAATTTTTAGACATGAAAAGTTTATTCTCAAGAAGTATTTTTCATTGTTAACCTTTCAAGAAGTATTTTTCGTTGTTAACCTTTTAAGAAGCTTGGGTTGGACTAAATTTGGTTTGACCTTGTAAGTTGAAACCAAAAAAGAATTTGGTCTAACGAAACGAAGACTCGATGTGAAAATAAAAGCTAGTAGAAGAGGAAGAGCCTTTTGTCCCTAAACCGACAGTATCAACATTCATCATTGAACTCAAAAAAGCACATGCATAAAATACAACTACCACAAAAACAACAATAAATTCAAGGACGGCAAATTTGTTGAATTGCATTTACGCAGCTTTTATTTTGTCTATAAGAATTCAAATTCCCAACTGCACTGATGTCGTGCCTAGCAACAACTCAGAAAAGAGACCCTCCTTTACAATTTTATCATACCGAATACAAGTATCCTCCTCATCAAATTGAAACACAAAAGGTCCACCTGCACCAGAAGGCAGTTGGGAAGGTGGATATGCATGGCTAAAACTTAAAAGCAAGGACTGTGTTGGTTGGGTTTGCTGCATCGTTTAGATAAGCAAAAAACCCCAAGACAAGAGAATGAAATAGAATTACGTTCAAATCTTAGCTGGGAAGTTTTATAATTAATTTCAGCTTAACTATTGACAACAGAACATATGGAAATTAAGAGACAACGTAACATCACATATTTAGACAGAGAATAATACTGATTGATTCGACATAACATTTGAATGTCTCGTTTTAATTCGCAGTTTGAAAATATCATATCTACATGTATATTCATTGAAATTGAACATCAACATATGCTAATACCTAGTATTGTTTGAGTAGAATTACATTTTAATGTGGCATATATATTAGGCTTATTTATACTAATGCCCCCGAAACTACAGTCAAATCTCACTTTACCCTCCAAACTTAAACTGGCTCATTTTTCCCACTTGACCAAGGTTTGGCGACCCACTTTGCCCTTATCGTCAATTCTATCCAAAACTCTGTTAAATCTAATAATGTGGCAGGGGTAATTTTGTAAGTTTGTACACATGGATCATTATCCACCAATTAGGTAGGTGATGTGGCAAGTAGAGCCTACCTCCAAATAGATAAAAACATAATAAAATATTCTAATATTTAAAAAGAACTACAAATTAAAATAAATCAGAAAAAAAAATATTTAAAAATCCTCCATCATCAGCGTCATCATCTCTACAGCACCAAAAACACCATCCCTCCAGCTCATAAACCCACAAATTACCTTGCTGGAACGGAGGATCACAGAGATAGAAAATCCAGAAAGAAAGAAAAAAAAAACTCAGTGGTTTCTAAATGATATCCTTGGAGCTCTAGTTTTTGTAGTCTTAATTATCCAATTCTCTCTTTATGTACAAGCTCGGCAGTTACTAGTTTCTTTAGAGGAATTTTAATCAAAGATGATCAAGTTAGCTATTTTTTCTCCACCCAAACGAATTTACAGTCTTCCGTCATGAGACTTTTTGGTGTTTGCTTTTGTCTAAAATTGGAATGGAGGTTCCAACTTCAAACCATGATGGAGGTTTTTTAATTATTTGAATTTTTTTTCTTTTAAAATTTTAGTTATTTTTAAAAATTAGAATATTTAATTATATTTTTATTTATGTGAAGTTGGGCTCCACTTGCCACATCACCCATCCAATTGGTGAATAATGATCCATATGTATGAAATTACAAAAAACCTCTGACACGTCATCAAATTTAACAGACTTTTAGATGTAGTTGATAGTAGGCCACCAAACTTTGGTTAAGCGGAAAAAATGGGCCACTTTAAGTTTGGGGAGGCAAAGTGAAATTTGATCGTAGTTTCAGTGACTAATATATTACGTCCAGTGGCGGTTCTACAGCAAGGGCAGGGTAGGCCTACCCAAATTTTTTCACCAAAAAAAAAAAAAACTTATATGTAAGCAAAGTAATTTCTACCCATCCCATGTAATGGTGTGAACCCATGCCTACCCAAACTTCAGAGCAACCCACATATTATATGACTCAGTCAAACTTAAAAAAAGAAAAAGGGGGGAAGCAATATAAGTAAGCAGCCAATTCCCTTTCAGCTGTGCAATAGTCGACAGTCCCAAATCATTATCTTTTGCAGCTTCTTCTTGAGTCTGGACATTCTCATATCTAAGGCCAATAAGTATTCTTCTATTGAGTTTTTCCTAAAATAAATGTATGCATCTTAAGTTTTTTAATAGTTTAATTTAGTTTTAGATTTAAATAGTTTAGTTTTTTGTTGCATTGCATTAATTTGTTTTTTTAGTTTTTTTTTTTTGTTAAGTTTTTATATATGAGGGTAAATCTCATTATGCTCTCCCCAATTAGGTATATCTTTTTATTTTTATGAATGAAATTCATTCGTACCGTTGAGTTTTTAAGGTAAGTTTCGTCTACCTGACTTTTGAATCCTGAATCCGCCACTGATTACGTCTGTATACATATGCATAAGAAAAAGACGAACATTACCGGTGAACGAATGTAGCAATTGCATTCATGCAACCAAAAAAAATACAGCTTTTCATGGACAGTTGGAATGAACTTTCAACTTATTTATGTACATATTTATATCTTTTTTCCATAACGTGACTGATATGTTCAGTCCATGATCAATGTTCTCTCTATCTCTCTCGAGCCACCTAGTGATATAGAAAAGACCTATTTATACAAACCACATCCATCCACAATACAACCCAAATCCAGAAGTTGAGAAATCTAGTTTCTAACAAATGGAAGCCCTATGCCATGGAGGAGGCATTGTCCAAGCCCTAAACACTCATGTGTATGGAAATGGCAGCCAGACTTTGGTTCTGGCTCATGGGTTTGGTTCAGACCAAACAGTTTGGCACTTCCTCATTCCCTTTCTTGCATGCTATTTCAAGGTTGTGGTTTTCGACTTTGTTTTCTCACCAAATGTTGATCCAAAACTCTTTGACCCCGAAAGGTACGACTCAAATTTTGGTGCCTACGCAGAGGACTTGCTGTGCCTTCTTGATCATCTCAATGTCAATAAGACTGTATATCTGGGCCACTCCATGTCTGCCATGGTTGGATGCATCGCTTCTATTCAAAGACCACACCTGTTTCAGCACCTTATCCTGCTAGGTGGCTCTCCCAGGTCATGATGCATCTCTCTCTCTCTCTCTCTCTCTCTCACACACACACACAC